CGATGCCATTTCTATATATTTTTGGCCAAATGAAGTAACAGCAGCTGATATATCATAATCACATATAATTGAATATGAATTACCAGTTTGTCCATAAATAGAATTAGCTATTCTTTTTAATAAATCTTGTAAAATATTGTAATAATCATATAATGAATTTCCTTTATCGTATTCATCACGTTTAACTTTTGCTTCTTTTCTTCGTTTTACAAATAAATTCAAAATTAAAGGTACTAATCCTCTTTTGTTTTTTGAAAATTTGACTATTTTAGTATTTCCATTTTTCATATCAACTGATATTTCATAACATTCTTCATTTGATTCTGAACCAATTTTAGTAAGAAAACAAATATTATTCTGCATCATAAGATTAGGATATAATGAATTAAAATCCAAACATATATCAAATGTAAAGGAATATCCTTTATTAGGTTCTTTAACTGTGCCACCACCAAAATCTTCCTTCTCATGTTTTTCATTATATTTAAATGATATATTAAAACCTTCTAATAAAGCAATTAATACTAATACATTATTAATCATTTTTGTTTTATTTCCATGAGAGTATTCTATCATAGTTATATTTGTTAATTCTGATACTAATCTATATTCAGTAATTTTGTTTATGTGTTCAATTGCTTCTTTTGGTGCTATACAATCCCTAATACAATATTCTAATATAATTGTGCATTTTCTTTTTCTTGTCTCATCATCATAATTTCGACTATAGCAATTATGTAATATCTCATACATCTTATCTATTGAAAATTCTAATTTCAAATTTAATTTAAGTTTTCCTAATATAGTATTTAATGACCATTTTGATAATGTTCCGAAATGTTGTCTAAAAATAGTTTGTTGATCATATTCTTCAGTTCCTTCAATTTTGATATAATAATGTTTTGTTTTTTCACTTGCATTTATAGTAATATATTCTTCTTTATAAAAATATTTGATAATATCTTCTATTCTTTTGTCTTTACCAGTAGCAATTTTATAAAACTCTTCAAATATATTTAATTCATACAATTTCCGAATAGTAAATTTCCAATCATATCCAAGATTATTCCACCCTCCAGTTTTTTCAGGTCGAAAATTATGATATAACATAGCTTTTGTTAAAAAAAACTCTTTTTGTGTCTTGACATATACTATTTCAAGTTTGTCATCTGTATTTGCATATTCTACAGGAAACTCATTTTTATTTTGTAACAAAATAGCAACTATATAAAATGGTTTTATATCTCTACCTTTAAAAAAACAAAATACTCCCATAAAAGCTTGATCAACCTCATATCCAATAGAAACTCTTCCTTTTTTTCCTATTTTTAAATTATCGATATCAACTGTTTCGTAATCAAAATATATTGATATATATGCATTAAAATTTTCAACAAATTTTATCTGTGTATAATGATATTTATTTTCATACATATTTTTTGATAAAGTCTTGTTTGTTTTAAAAGCTTTTGATAAAGGAAATCCTTTTTTAATATTATCAATCATTACTTCAGTTCTTGGTGCTATAAACATATAATATGGTGTTGAAATATCATCTTCATACATATCAAATATTTCATATTGCTTCTCTTTGTTTTTTTTATTATTTCTAATTCTAACTATTTCTTTTCTTCTAACATTATGATTTCGAAAGTAAACTCTTAAGAAATGATATGAATTTCCATTGGTATCATTTCGAATAGAAATATCAAAATTTATATAATTTTGATAAGTTATATCATCTAATATTGTTTTTATCTTGGATTCATTAATTTTTTCTTCTTGTTTGTTAATTTTAAAGTCACAATAAACATCAAATCCATTGATGAGAATATAAGCTTCTAAATGATTTGTAGTTACACATTTGATTTTCATAT